GCGGTAAGTCCCTTCCCCAGCCGCGCTGCCTCCATCGCCCGCGCCGCCTCTATCGCCTGCGCCTTCCCACCCCCGGGCACCCGTCCGGTGCCCTCCCACCGCCGGTGTGCCGTGGCTGGGGATCTCCCCCGGCTCCCCCAGAGCACACGTCGCCGCCGCTCGACGCCCCCTCGGTCCCCTGCCGCCCTCCCTCCCTCCCTCCGCGCCCCGTCCGCGCCTCACGCCTCTCCCCGCCGGCTCCGGCCGCCTCCTGCCCCGCTCAGCCGCCCCGGCCGCTGGATACCGTCACCGTCGGCGTCGTCGTTTCCACTCCTGGTACCGCCTTATCGTTGCCCTGGGCCTGCAGCTGCCCTTCGCGTCCCGTCCTCGGGAGGTAGTGCCCCATCCTGAAGCCCTCCTGCCCTGGAGAGGTGCCTGCCAGCCCCCTACGCCCGGGGGGCGGACCAAACCCCGGTGCTTTGTTAGGTGCCTTTGTCCCGGTCCGAAGAGGGGTGGTTTTGGCCCTGCCAGCCCTCTGCTGTGTCTGCAGCCCGCTTTATAACTCCGCACAACCATACGCGTGTCTAAAGAGGAGTACCTGACTCACCATCTTCTTTTCGGCGTTACACATAGCTTTGATTTCTCCCCACAGCTGTTGTAAAGGACAATTTTGGAGGGGAGGGGGAGTCTAGAGTGGTAGAGGGGAGATGCTGTACCTTCTTAGCATCCCTTGCTAACTGTCATCACTACTTGTGGCTGCACAAAAAGAAAAACCACCTTGCTTAAGTGAGCCTCCAGCACTGACCTAGGTAGTTCTTGTCTGCTTTCTCCTAAAGATGAACAGTGCTACAATCTCCCATCTTCTCTGTTACCTCAGCTCTTAGGAAGCGACTTTTTCCCTTGGGTACTTAAGTGTATTTTTGGCAGCATATTAATACATGAGTCTGAAATGACTGTGAATCTGGAATGTGTAAGTTGATGCTCCAGTAAGAATTGGATCAAATTTCAAGCACCTTATTTGTAAAGCAGACTGGGAGTTTGTCCATCCCAAAAGCAAAACTTTTACGAATTGCATCATACTGTGCTCCCTGGACTACTATTAAAAAAGAAAATCAAAATAACAAGCTACCAAAACTCATAAAAACTCCTTTTTTCATACTGTACTATATGCTACAGATAGCTGTCGTCTCGACAGCTTTTTTTGTACAGCTATTTCAAACAGTGCTTAAGTTTAACGTACTAAGTTTGAGCTCCTGACACTCGGATACCAGTGATAGAAGGGAGATGATATAGCCAGTCTAGATAGTGCCTCTTGGACAGAGACAGATGCTGCTTGAAATTATCAGGGAATTTTGCACATCTTGCTTCTAAAGCAGCAGCAATATTACTGTCACGTACCAAGAGGTTTTACACAATGGCTGATACCTTTTTGAATATGTTAATATGTAAATCAATAGAGAAACATACTTAGATTTTAGTTAATTAGGTTTTAAATTTAGTATTCTCTTGAGATGAGTGCTTTTTGGAGATAGTGCAGGGAAGTCTGGGGAAGGTTGTTTATTTGCAAGGTTTCAAGTGCATCTGATAGTGGCTGTGAAGTTAATTTTTTTTTTTTTTTTTTTTCTGCGAACAGGTTCTGAGGCACGCTCACATGCCAGTTAGTAGAATCTGAAGAAATAATTGCTGTGATGGGCATATTCCTTAAGTTTATGTTAGCAGAGGTCCACATGGTTTGTTTATGGCTCTAGGAAAGAACCTAGAATCACATGCAGCAGGTCTTATGCCTTACTATATTGCATGGGAAAACTGTTTCCTTCTTTAGTACGTTAAAAGATTACACACTGGACTGGTCTGCCAACGTTCCCCATGTCTTTTAGTTTAGTGGACGTGATAGTGGCTCTTTTACCAAGAACTCGTGCATTCCCATCAGCGCTGTATCAGTCTGCTGTTTTGGGAGGCAAACAGCCAAAGCCTCTTCCTCTAAAATTGTCAGATATCCAAAATAGTGCCAGAAAATATTTTCATTTATTGTTCTCATGACTTCAACATCTTAATTTGTAGTTGTTGAGGGGTTTTCTGCGGGTTTTTGTTTGTTTGGGGTTTTTTAAACAAAGTTTATGCCCTTGTCACCTACATTAAACTAAAAGCATATGTAGTAGGAATTTGGGGACTCAAATAATTACTATATACAGGCTCTCAAAGAGATTGCCCTTCATTTATAGAGTGTTTTGAAAGTATGCTCAGGGAGCAAAAACTTCTGAACTTCTATAGGATTATAAGGTGTTTGACAGAAATAAGAAATACTTGATTGATTTGATATTATGGTGTCTCACTGGAGTTGTAGTTCATACGCCTTATTACCCTGTCTTGAATGTTGCTCTGAGCTCCGTTTCTAAAAGAGATTGAGACCATGAGTTGTTTGAAATACAGTTTCCGTGACATAACAGCATTTTAGTCTGAATATTTTGGGATCGTGTCAAAAGATCTTGGCTTGAGAGTGTTTAAGGTGGGGTTTTTTGTTGTGGTATTTTAACAAGTATGCATTTTCTTGAGAAAAGCATGTTTTCTGCGCCTCCCCCGCAGCCCAAGTCCTTTTTCAACCATCTCCTTCCTCCCCAATTTTGAGATCGAGTATGCTTCAAAATTTTTTTTATTACCACACAATAGAAAATAAAAATAGATGTCCATATGCATCCTCTTTACTTGTTTCTTTTCTAGGTACGTACTTCAGTTGGAGACATTGAACTGTCTTGTACTGTACAGACATGTCTAGAAAAGTATCTGAATTGTTTTCATATTTTATCTTATAAGTTTTTGTAGCCTGTTGAAACGCAGCATTCTTTTAGGTTTCGGTAATCAAAGGAATTGTTGCACGTGTTTGGTAGTTATATTTGGTATATCAAATCTTACTTTGTCTTAAATGTGTTTCACAAACTCGGCCTTTATAATTAAAACAATTTAATGACTGTCATTACTTTCGTTCTTGTCATCTTGCAAAGTAAATCTTAGTCATAAAGTTTCTGTGCTGGTAAAGGAAAACTCTCCCTGGTTTTGCTATGTTTCGGTTTTGTATTTGTGTGTGCTTGCTCTTTTTCTCTTGAAGCTACCGAGATACATGGGTTTGTACAACAAAGGTGAAAACTGAATCGTTCTGTGATTAAAGCAACAAAGACTTGCTTTCTGTATGCTTTTATGCACGTTTAAATTTTTCAGATGATCACTACAGATTTTGTTTGTTCTTTAAATGGCAAAGGTGTAGGGATAAGGGAGAGGCTGGTCCAAAGGTCAGGTAATAGCCTGGGACGTGGGCTTCAACTGGCAGTTTCCTTCTCTGTCAGATTTTGTGTGTATTGTTGGGCAAATCACCTTTGTATAAATTGGGTTTAATAGTACTATTCAACTTTGTAGGAGTGTTGTGAGAATAGAGATACTGAAGCAATTGAAGAGAGAGGTGTATAAGTTTCTGAAATGGGGAATCTGTTTTGTTCTGCCTCTCCTGTACTTGGCTGACATCTTGCTTCCTGCTACTTGATAGGTGGTGCTCTAACTCTTACTGTATGGACTCTTGCTCAGTAGCATGGGAGAAGAGGAAGGACTACATCAAACACAGTTACTGGTATGTAACTTTTTGCTTCTTAAATTAAACTGTAGCCTAATACTTTGTGCAGTGTCAGGAGCAAGTTTACGATGTAAGATAATAATTGGAAGTAAGTGTTACAGGAAAAAAAAATCACTGAAAGCGGCGAAAGAATCTATAAATATTTTTTCCTTTCCTTCTACACACCCAAGTGTGTGTGATGTATTGAGGTTTTGAAGTTTGCTTCTGTGTTCTGTTCTTCTGTTGGTGTTCCTTAGAATAGCAAAACTATGAAAAACAGGATAATATTCAATTGAAGTTTTAATTATTCTTCACAGGAATATAAGGTATAATAAAAGAAGCTTCAAACTCTGTACAGAGTGTTTAGTGTTTGATGACATAATCATACATGGTTGATGAGTAGTCCCAAAAGATGTCTCTAGAGGTCAAGTTTCATATAGAGGGGTGTGTTTAGAAATTACTGTACATACAACTTTGTAGAAAAAAATAAAATGGTATATCCGCTGATAGGAAGCTGCAGGAATATCTAAGAATCTAGGAAAGGCACTATCAAGCAAAAGCTTGGGTTGTATTAAAAATGGGAATACTGCAAATATGTTAATTTATGGGAGGAAATCGTAAAAGAAACTTCCAAAGCATTTAATATGTTGGTAATCCATAGCTTTTAAGAAGTCTATGAAGAATGACTGTAAGAACAAGTTCATATATTCTGTACTGTGGTCTCTGCATACTATAATTTCTAAAGAGTTTTGTACCTTCAGTGGAAAGAACTCTGAAAGAGTCAGCAGATCCAAAAAAAAAAAAAAAAAGGTTATTCCACGGATCTATACAGCAGCGTAAGAAGTGGTGTACAGAGTCAGACCAAATCTTTATGTAACTACTGTGCTATCCCCAGGTTTTCAGAGCAGATAAGTATGTAACATATTTCAAAAAGAATAATGTTGTTTCACTTTGGTGCATTTTTCGTGACTCTGAAAAAGCTGAGAGCGAGCTCTTTGGAACACATGTGGAACACAGCATAGCAACCAGAAAAGCAAGGCAGAGGTTAGGACTTACCAAGGGAAATGGAAAGTAATAAAGAAAGACACTGCAATAGTATTTTGTTTTATCGGCTTTTATTTGAAAAACTTTGTTTTGTTTGGGTTACGGCAAATATTAAGCAAATGGAATCCTAAGGACAGAGGACTTAAAAGGGACATAACAAAGGTGCATAAAAGCAAAGATCAGGTACAAGCTTTCATTTAGAGCCTAATTTTTATAAGACTAAAAGAAGTGACATCTGCTGCATCAGAAAAAAAAAAGAAGTTACCTTGTATTTCAAGAGATCAGCTGCAATATTTGCGTGGGGCACTGTTGTCAAAATTAGTGCAATTCAGAAGAAGATCTGGAGACTAGTGCTTGAAAGTCATACCTTGGAAAATTCAGCGAATGATTTCTAGCTGTAAATAATAAGAAGCCTGGATGCACATATTTTTAGCTGGTGAACCTAAACTAGGAATGCGGGAATTTTGCTTTCTTACAGTCAACTGGGAAAGAAGTACAGAAGCTCATACAGAAGGATGACTGTGCCTATCCTTACTGGACTTCCACAATTTAGCCTGGAATGACACAGTTCATTGACTCACCTGAGTAAGGGAACCAGAAGGATTGCTTTAGGCACCTCAGTCGAATGTCTCAAGTTATATGGAACAAATCTAGATCTTACTTTAGCCAAAATAAGCTAACCGTTTCAAGAATGCTGCCCATGGTATTTTTTTCATGTTACTCGGTTAGGAATGTTGATGTTCTGGAGGGGTCAAATCTTTTAAAGATGGTGTGCTGGGTTGTATTTTTATTTCCAAAATTAGAGGTTAAGCATGCCAGTAGAAACTCAGGAGGAGCGAGGAGAAACTGCCTCTCCAATAGGTGAAATACAGCCGTTGAGATGTTTGCTTCTGTGCGAAGCAGCAGCTCCTGACTTCCATCAAGTGTGGAACTTAATGGGAGCCAGGAGCTGGGAGCTCCTGCCTCTCTCCGATGCCATGACTTGTGGACCTGCTCACCCTTGGTTCCCGAGTGCCGTCTTTGGGACCCAGTCCATATGTTCCTGACCCCTGTTGTACCACACTGGCCATTCTATAACCTGGTATGACAATTCTGATGTTTCTATCTTAAAAGAATTTGCTGTTTAAATTTAAGATTAAAGTTTCTGTTTTGTTTTTTAGTCTTTTTTTCACCTCCCTCCTGAGCTGTTTTATGTTGTACAAGACATTTTTTTGTTTTGTTTTTTTTTTTTTAACAGGACACAATGTTTGTGCGAGGATTAAAGAGAAAATGTTTTGATGGCGAAGAAGATATTGAAGGAACTCTGGCTGGTATTAAGGCTATTCCTTCATATAATCTTCAGCGGCAGTCACTTTTAGATATGTCCTTGGTTAAACTTCAGCTGTGTCACATGCTGGTTGAACCTAACCTTTGTCGTTCGGTACTTATAGCCAACACGGTACGGCAGATCCAAGAGGAAATGACTCAGGATGGGACTTGGCAGATGATAAATACACAGAGTACAGGACAGGCATCCCTGGATCGTCTTGTTTCAACAGACATCCTCTGTCGTTCATCTAGGGAACAAGCTGAGGGAAAGCACGTTCCAGGCTATAGTACTTTCAATAAAGACTTTGAGAGTGACCAGGCACAAGATAGTTCAGAGACTATGTCAACAGCCTCTTCAGTGCAAGCCCCAAGAAACCTGCAGAGCAATGTGTGGGAAATGGAGAATCCACAAGAAAATAAAGGAAACTTTCAAAAATCATTAGATCAAATATTTGAGACACTGGAGAATAAAAGTCCTAATTCTGTTGAAGATCTATTTTCAGAAGTTGACAATTCTTACTATGATCTTGATACTATGTTAACAGGCATGATGAGCAACACAAAAATGGGACACTGTGATGGGCTTGAAACGTTTTCTTCTCCAACAACGGCAACTTCTAGCCCTAATTGCAAATCTGATCTTAATGACCTTGATCATATTGTGGAAATCCTTGTTGAATCCTGAAGCTCCTTGTGTACGAGATAAAGATCTGTTAATTGGGAAAAAAGACTCAAGAAAGCTATTTCCACAATTTGTTCTATCAAATCTGCACGTGTATTTTACAAATATCTATATATTATATAGATATATATTTTTTAAAAGCACTTCATATTGCAAAATAGTGTTAACTCTTAAAGTTAACCTGCAACTTGTAGTGTAATAATCCAATTTATTGTCCATTGAACTGTTAAGTACATATGGTAAATGTTTTTAAGTTTGAAGTCCAAGGCTCTTGAAATTGGGTTCCTTTTTCCAGTTTCTTTTAGCCTTTGATGGAGGATATGCTCAATGAGAGGGAATCTCTCATCCTTTTCTTATACTTCTCCCAGTAAAAAAAGTAATAAACAGAGAGAGAAGTTTCGTAACTGGTTTTCTATTTTCCTCCGGTTTCCACTTTGTTACACCACATAACTCCTACCATATCTGCTGCTTCTGTTGTAAGTCGCTACATGGCTCTTAAAGAGCAGTATGCAATAGTTCCTGTTATCTTAGCTAGCTTATTCTGGTTTTTTGCTACAATTTTTACTTCAAAAATAGTTTTAAAGTGTTTATTGGTGTTTAGATTTTTCCAGGTATTTTCCTAAAATATATTTTTCCTACAGATGTTATGTCAGCTGCTAACTTAGTAACTTTTGATCATATCTGCAGTTGATGTATTTTTGAAAAGACTTTTCAAAAAGGGATGTTTTTTTACTGTGAGCTACCCAATGTAGTTCAGTAAAGTGTATGTAAATGTAAATACCTGATTTTATACTTTACATTAAAATATAAGAGCTGTTCTCATGATTCTGTTTATTTATAGAGTAGTGCTTTACTAAATTGAGAATTGTACAATTACTCTTTTCACATCCCATGTGCTTGAGTGTCATTAGAGGAAGCGCTTTGATCCAACTAGATAAAATTATATTTAATTCATTTCAGACCGTATTTTTTGTTAACTACAAACCTAAATTACGTAGGTTTTTATTTATGTGTATTTATATGTAAATGTCATCAAGTGAATTGTTTATCACCGAAGCCTACCATCAAATGTTTGTTTATATGGGATAACTATCTTGCACTAATTGCTACAAAAAGTGTTATTAGTGGCCTTTAAATCTCAGCTGGTGTGTCATAATGTCTTGTCATAATTAATATGCTCCACTCTTACCGAGGGTTTCCTCTTGGCTTTTTTTAATAAGAAAAGATAATACAACATGGGATGGTGTTCTTTTTTTCAAGTACTCTCATTCGTTTTAGAGTGCATATAATCAAGCTTATTCCTTTGAGACTTCTTGGGAAAGGGATAGTGTATGGTTTTGTTATAAAATGCCAAATATTTACTTCCACAAGCTGGTCCTGGGGGAGAGACCTGAACTAGCAGGGAGGTAGAGAAGGGGGGAAAGACTGATTGGTTTCTGGAGCGCGTTAGCATTGGCTGTGCCAGGGGAAGAGATCCACCAGGAACTCCGTTGTTTTCTGTAGAGCCTGAACCTGAATCAAGCAAGTCACTGGACATGCAGAGAGTACATTTCTGTGTCTGACAGGCTCTGCCTGCCCATGAGCGACCCTACCTACTACTCACTATCCTTCTCGGATTCTCAAACCCCTAAAGAGAGGAGGGTGCAGGCAGGGGGATGTTAAAGACATTCCAATGTCACCTCCACAGTAGGAGACCACCGAGCTTATGATTTCAACGAGTGCTTTCAAAGCATCTGGTTTGGGGAAAAATTACATCACTTTGCTAAATTTGTCAAACTTGAAGGCATATTAACTCAGTCACGTGAAACCATGCAGTTGGTGTGAGTCTTCAGTGAAATTTAAAAATTGCTTTTGTATTAAACTTGGACATGAGATAATCCCTAGCTACTGTAGTAATTAAACATCGCTTCCTCAATTAAAGCTTCATTAGTAACTTGGTATTAAATTATGAAATACCATATAGATACTTGCAAGTTCAGTCCGTATAATACAGCTGGACCGAAGAAACACGCCAGTGCTACGGGTCCTAATAGAGATATCACTCACAACTGGAAGGTGTTGCAGCAGTACATCCTGCTTCAGGAGGATACGAGTATTGACGTGAGCTGTCATCTCTCGCAGTGACCTAACAGTCTGTTTTATTTGGCAGTGTTTGTTTGCAGTATCGGAGATTCCTTCCAAATTACAAATCCGCAGGAAACTTGTCTTCGTGCTTTGCTGTGTGTGAACAGACCCACTGAATTGGGCAGCAGATGCATTAGGGTAAAGCCAGAGCACCAGGCAGTTTCAAAGTATTATAAAGGGAACGTTAACGTTGAGTTGAATAATTAAATATCTACTGTCCCTCTGGGAAATTTCCCCTAAAATTGCTATAAACTGCGGTTTGAAGCCCACAGGTTTGAACGACTGTGGGTGTTCCCCTCTGGTTCCCTCCCCATCCTCCATTCTCATTAAATGAGCAGTTGCATGTTAAGATATTTAAAAAGATGCTCTTCCCGCCTCCTTAGTGTGCATCGGTCTCCATGTTACAGGTAGGAATTGGTATAATTTGTTCATAACTCTTAAACTGTGTATGTCAAATGCACGTGTGTATATATATATATGTCTATATCTGTACCTTATGGTACAAAACATCTAGCTGGGTGCATTCCTTTACCGAGGAAGCTGTGTCTAGTTAGAGCAATTTGTAGAGACTACTTGGCTTAACAGGAAAGGTATTTGGCAAGCATGCATTTATGTAGTTAAGCATTTAAACAGAAACATATATCCTGTTATATTATGTTCTTAAAACTTATGTGCTTTTACACGCCTGGTATCTTGGCTCAAGTCTTCAGCAGGTGTAAGAATTTGTATGGCTGAAACTTGCAGAGTCACTGTGCGGAACTGACGTGTGCCTAGAACTGGTCTGACTTTGGGAGGACCAGTCAGTGTAAAATCAGCTTGTCTTCCTACTGCTTCATCGGTGTGTCTCAGTCTAATTCAGCTGCTCTGTCTGGGCAGCTTCATTTCTGCATTGGTTGTTTTTTTTATATAAAAAAAAGAAGCTTTATTTTTTAACTTGCACTGTCATTTCTTTGCTAATCCAAAGAGGTCTTAGTTAAATATGCATCACTTAATATATTTCCCCTCTACGTATTCCTCTAAGATACAGAGAGACATCAGGAATGATAGGGTGCCTGCAATACAGTGAATTTTATACTTATTTTGTGAACTGTAAGTACAAATGGCAAGATATGGTGCACGCTGGTGGTGATTTTCTTAATTTCGACATATAAATGGGAAAGAATTTAAGCTCTGTTAAATTCAAAAAGGCTTCTGTAAGATTTTTGCTACCACTTCTGGCAGCCTTTTTTTCTTTCGTGCGCTCGTAGGGAAAGGAGTCATGAAACTTGCAGGGCAGTTCAACGCCGTGTCTGAAACAAGGCTGACATAACATCAAATCTGCTTCCTTCTCAGGTAACCTTGAATATCCTTCCCTTTCTGCCTCTGTGCCTATGGTTTCTTTCTCCTTTTCTCCCTTGCAAGAAAATCCAGAACACAAGGAGCTTCTGGAACTCGGCCGTTCAGCCTAGGCAGCAGTGTGAGGATCCAGGCTGAGTTCACAATAGAGTGAAAATTTATTGCTTCCCTGTTTGTTTGGTGTTTGTTGGATTTTTTTTAACCCCCTCTCTCTTCCACAGCTCTGAGTTTATCCAGCAAAAGGCATCGGCTGTCTCTGTAAATGTAGCCCTATTTGCCTAAAGGACAAATCTGGTAAATGCAGAGGGATGTCTGGACTGCTTTAGTAGGCATTTTAGAAAGCATGATTGTAAATTGACTGATAGTATAGTTTATATTGTAATTATCAGACCATTATGGATGTCTTGTGCTTCAGAATATTGATTTCAGTCTGAGTTCTTTACAGTTCTGCAACTTATTCCCTATTCCCATATAACTAAACAAACTCCATCAGAAGCTAGGATGAAAAGAATATTTATTTGCTGACATCTAGGATGAGACAAAAATGCTTTCAAAGCTGACTTCTGTTCAAAGTGAAAGTGTGTTTACGTCGCAGGCCGAGGATGTATAGTCCCTTTTGCAAAAAAAAAAATAAAAAACCCATGAGTGATCATGACAGATTTTGATTGCTCATCAGCTCTTAAATGAGTGTGATTTCATACTACGTGACTAATACTAAAAGTACAAAGCCACCAAGTTGCAATGAAACGAAGTACACATCTTAGGAAAATGCATATTTTTGTCGGTTTGGCTTGTTCAACTCTAAGCTTTTACAAGGATCGTCTAAACTCCTTTTGCTGTCTCTTGCAAAGTTGACAGTGAAGATACATTTTCCTATTTTTTCAAGGAAGTTCCACGAAGAGATGAAATTTTTCCTATTTTTTTCAAGGAAGTTCCACGAAGAGATGAAATCCCACTGAATAATTCAAGTTATCAGGAAAGAGACTTGCTTCAGATGTCTGAAGTGATATTTTTTTTTTTTAAAGCCAGTGAAAAGTACTAAAATTTCATTAACTGACATGATTTTTGTAAGTGTGTATGGTCGCTTTATTTCAAAAACAATTACTCCTTTGCTTAACCAAGATTCCCCCAAAATGAGTGTTTTATGAGCTGAAGAATTACTGTGGTAAATGCTGATGCACAACCAGCGTGTCAGGAGGAAAATACAAAGCTAGAGGCAACTTTCCATTGCAGGGAAAATACTCAGTAATTTCAACTGTCATCTTTTTAGGGAAGACTAATTGAAGTTACAGGTGATTACGTGACTTCTTGCAAAAACAGAATTAAAAAACAATTGTATCCGCATGTCTGCTCTATTTGGAAGTCCCCTCGGAGCATGTGGGAAGTGGCAAGTAAGTATTGCAATAGTCAAATGTTCTAACAACGGAACAGCGTATCGCATTTTTCATGTGCCGGTTCCAGACAAGTTTTGGAGATCAAGAAAATGTCATGTAACTCCAACCTCGGGTTGTGCGAGCTTCCAAAACAAGTGCTTAAGGAAGAGCATTAAGGTTATGGCACTAACAACAAAAAAATACCCATCACCCAAAGAGTTTAATACTCAGAGGAGAGTTTAATACTCAGAGGAGAAAACCTGTACTTAAACCAAATTAACTTCTCTGTGTTTGAGGTCGTTACTGAGAGAAATGCTAGACATGGAAAGTACTGGGTGTTGGGATTTTTCTTTTTTTGGTCCAGTGAGCTGACTAAAGTTTAAGATAAAATTGTTGAGTGGCTATTTTAATTGAAGCCCAGTAATGTGGTTTGCTTTTGTGTCTGGTTTGTTTGAAAGGTAAAGGGAGAAAGCACTTTTTCTTGTAAATTGTGATTCTTTTGACAAAATAGAATAATGGCTTATTTAGTGCTCTGACAAATACTCAATACTGCTGGGATTTTTAAAAAAATTGCCATCTTGAGCCATGGCTGCTCTTTTTTTTCTTTTAATCTGAGTAAGTGTAGGATTAATTAGTAGTTCACAGGGGCTTTACTACTAAAAGGATGTGGTAAAACTAACCAAGGCTTGATGCAGTAGGCACTACCCTTTCTCCCTTTCCTGTTCAAGCACGGTATACATGATCGTTCTGTCATTCAGCTTCAGAATAGCTAATTAATTTCAACCAAATCTGGTAAATCTCAGGGTCCCTACATTTTTAGTTTGGTTTTTTTATAAGTGTGCAGGTGAACGAGAAGAACGCAGAAGAAAACTGCGTTCTGTACTGATACCCAGATAAAGGAGAGGCACTTCCAAGTTTCCAGGCATGAGACCAGCTTCAATTAGAGCTTGTACCTTAGACACAGAGGCAATTAATCACAGGCATAAATCCATAGGAAAGCAGTCTTCGTTAGTTCCTGTGTTCCTGGAACTGTGTTTCTGAATAGATGCTAGTAGGAAGGTAAGTACAAGTAGCAGACCTCCAGTAATGCTTTCAGATGAGTTATATAGAGACCCTGATTCGTTTCAGAGTTGGGTTTTTTTTCTGGTTCATGTGAAATTTGCTGCAAAAGCAAAAAATGTTGCTCATGAGAACAGTATCCTGGCCTGCTGCAGCAGGTACAGTCATACTGAGAGACCATGTTTAAATCATAAAAAAAAAAAAAAATCCCACATTAAATCTTCTGTTTGCCTCAAGATGAATTTAAGGCAAAATGGGAGAAGGTTAAGGACTCCTAGAACATGATCTCATTTGAGAAAGTAAGGGCCTTTTAAAGAAAGTTTTGTCAAAAGAGGCCTTGGCAAATAATCAGTGTATTTTTGTGTAATTTCTATTAACTTCTCCAAACGTTAGGCCATAAATCCAAAGTTCTGATGCGTGTATTTAAACAACTTCATGTTAATTTTTTTTCACAGACCTCGTCAGAACAGGTATGAAACAGGAGGGACCTTTCGAGAAACACCTTCTGCAGATGGCATGCGCACCCGTTTCTGTGAAAGAAAACAAAAATTGGTTACAAAACGGCTGACCACATGAAGTTAGTAACTGGGGGGAGTAGGATGAGGGGTGGTGGGTGTCTTCGGTAGGTCTGCAGGGTGGCTCAGGTTAATGAGGGTGGCTCATTAACACGCTGTAGCTGTGGGGAGGAATGGATTGTCCGATGGGGTTTTCCGGAGAATGAGCTGTTTTGGCCGGTGGTGGTCAATCTAGAAAACTTAATTTTTGCTCAAGTTATTAAAACGCTTTGGCGGTGCTGCTAGTTAAATTATCCTTTTATACGCAGCATTATACATGATCCTTCCAGACTTGCCCCTTCCACAGCAGCTTACCTTTGTGCTGCCAACCCCTATCCATTCCTTGGAGATAATCCCCAGCATATGGCAGGGGTCGGTCCTTGGTGCGATACTCCTGGTTGTCCCTGGTTGACTTGAGCAGATGGAAGAACCCTCAACATCTTAAAAGTTGCTCTTCCACTTAAGCCACAGCGCGTGATGGGAAGGGAAAGGGTATGGGGGGGGGGGGGGGGGGTGGGGGCTAAGTGCTGCTGTGGGTCCCCGACTTAGAGGGGTGCAGCAGATGGACCGTGGGGGGGTAGGGGTGTCACCCCTCCATGTCCTCCTCCCCGACACGGCCCCAGCAGCCTGTCAAAAAGGATTCATTAAGGCTTCTGGCGGCAGCAGCGGCTCCCCTTCTGTGCTCCGTGACCCCCCAGCAGCCAGGTCACAGCACAGCTGTGGCCCAGAAATGGGTGGCAACGGGGCCGCGGCAGAGCGGTGGCCCGGAGAGACAGTCCCCTGGGCCACCAGCAATGGGTCCTGCCAGGGTCACTGGTGGCTTTCTGTGCCGCTCTGCCCTTCCTCCGGGTCACTCCTACTCCCTCACGGCGTCCGCCTGGAGACACAGGGGTTAAAATCTGTTGGGTTTTGTAAAACCCTAAGTTTTCTTCAGCTGAATAATGGAAAAAAGCAACCAATCTTTCATCGAAGTCGTAGGTTCTCTCTGCCGGGAAATTGCAAGTGTTTCTGAAGTATTTATTAGACCAACATGACGTGTGGGGAAGAAGCTGAATGTGTCGATTTTTGGTTGGTTTTGCTGTTGTAGGGGTTAATTAATCTAAACCCATTTGGAGAGCCGAGGGGGTTCTGGGAGGGTTCATCAGGTAATCCACTGGGGGGGGGGGGGTCGAAAAAAGCTCAAAATCAAGTCTTTACAAATACTTGAACGTCAAGATTTTGAAACCTGGTTTGCACAAATGCCAGTGCCGATAGAGCTGCCTTACGCAAACGCCCGCGGAAAGCAAATACGACAGGTTCGAGCGTGGCCAAAAACCACCTCGTCTTTAAAGTAAGGGGGGAAAAAAAAAAAAAAAAAAAAAAAAAAAGAAATGAAGTGAATATTTATGGAAGAGTTGTGCAATGTTTGATGTAGCTTTATCGCCGGTGGAGGGACGTGCGGCCCAGTGTTTCCCAACCACCCCGGCGGCCGGAGCTGCGGGAGGCCCCTGCCAGCCTGTATTACTGAAATTCGGCAATTTTGGTCAAAGACTTCTGGTTTAACCCCCTTTCCTCCCCAAAAAAAGAGGGTGTGGGGGCGCAGGGCCTGGCTGTGGGCCCGGTAGTTCCTCAGGCCCCAGGGCCGCCGCCCGTCCCCGCTGAGGGCGCCGCCGTCCTCTGCGCCCGGCGCGTGCGGCCGCCCCGTGCCTCCCCACTCCCTCCGCCCCTCAGCGCCTCACGGCGGGAGGGGAGAAAGGGGGG